TGAGGTCCCAATAGCTAGATTTGTCTCATGCATGAAGTAGGAAGGTCTTAATGGATTAAGACCATGTGTTAAGAACTTTCTAGACGTCCAAAGTGATAAAGTTCGAAACTTTATGGTTCAATGGCACATTTGGTCGATGGATATGGAAGTTGGGCTTAAGTGCTTAAGCCATTAAGCACTTATTAGGGTTTTGGTGAAACCCCGCGTACGCCCAGCGTAATTCCTGTACGCCCAGCGTACCGGGTCAACCACCCCGATGGCGGTCAACATAGGGCAGGCGTACGCCTAGCGTACAGGAGGAGTACGCCCCACGTACGTCCTCAGTTTGGACTTTGACTTGTGGGCTTCAGGTTGGGCCGCTGTTAGACTATTTGGACTTGGGCCTTATTGGGCCCTGAATATTTGAAGTAGGGCCAGTTATGATAAAGGGTCCTATGTTAAGGCCCAATTAGGAGGTTAGGCCCAATTAGGAAAATTGGGCCATTATTGGGCTTGTGCATATGGACTTGGGTTAGTGTATTGATATTAGGCCTTAGGCCCAAATTAGGGAAAATGGACAATATGGACCCTTTGGCAATTTTGGAGATCCCACTTATTAATTTTATATTCATCATTTTAGGCAGTCAGGGTGGTCAGTGAAATAGCGGCGGGAGACTCCCAGTTCAGTTCTGCACTACTTGTTAGGTGAGTTATCCTCACTATATCAACAGGGTCTAAGGCACCACGGCCGACCCTTTATGGATTGTATTCAGATTATTATGTTATATGCCTACTGATTTACATCCTGGTAGTTAGGATGCTATGTTAGTGACCTGTTAGGTCGGTGTCCTAGTTATAGGATCATTACTATGCTTGTGATCTGTTAGATCGGTTTGACTGTTATATGCATGCTGTTGTTTGTATGTTATCCATGTGCACATGATTATTTGTTTGGGGGTTGGGTTGAGGCGGTCCTGCTTCGTGCTGTAGGCCAACATACCCGGGGCGGTCCGGATAGGCTGTAGGCCCTGAGGAGGCGGTCCAGTCAGGCCGAAGGCCCGACGAGCGGTCCGGATAGGCTGTAGGCCCTGCGAGGCGGTCCAGTCATGCCGAAGGCTCGGGAGCGGTCCAGATAGGCTGTAGGCCCTGAGGAGGCGGTCCAGTCATGCTGAAGGCTCATTATACATGTTGGTTGTTATTATTTTGCTGGGTGGTATATGTTGGTATTTTGGGGGTAACTCACTAAGCCTTCAAACTTACATTTATTGATTTTTGTTTCAGGTACTTTAGGTGACCATGGCAAGGCAAAGGCGTGACGTGCACATCCTCACATTTTATGATTTGGGATTTCTGGGAACTCTGATATGAAATCATTTTGAAAACAATTTGTGAACTATGTTGATGTTTGAATAATTTTATTTACTCGGATTGGTTTTGAAAAGTTTAAATTTTAGTAAATTTTTGGGTTGTTTCATTTATTTTTAGTTTATATTTTATACTCGTGATGATTTTGCAAAAATCATAACTCTCTCGTATTGGTTTTGTTTTCGACATTTCTTGTCTCAAAATTCCTATTTTGAGAAGTACTACAATTCTCTTTTTGGTGACTTTAGGTAAAAGTCAACCATTCTCTTCGTAGATTTTGATGTTGTAACTTTTTATGTTCAGTTGATTTTTATATATAATAAAAACTTATCTTCTACAAGTTAGGTCGGATTTTCATGAAGTTTACATTTTTGAAATCATGCTATTACGTACATTCTGAATGTGTTAACCTGCTTGCGAGATGACACAACTTTTTGTGCTCTTATTTCTGGGCCTATTAGTCATAATAATCGTATTTGGTAAGGCAGAGTTGAAAATATTAGTTAATATATTATAGTATTATATCGTTGTATTTATTATATTCACTATTCTATGACAATTCCTAACAGCGATTGATGACGCTTTTATGTTGATTGTTACAACTATAAAGAAAATATCAAACACAACTACCCAAAGAACTCCATCCTCACTGAAAATCTCCTAAGGCACCTGAACCAATGCAAGGTAAACGCAACAAGCAAAGAACAAGTGTCAGCAACTGCTAGTGAGCCAATCATAAGTATAATGTTAAATGAAAACATAAATATTTCAGATTGGGTCAACCATTCACATAAACATCACATACCATGTTTCTACATTACATATTTTATATTATCAAATCCACAATAAGTTTATCACTATAATATATATTAAATGCTAATCTTTGTTATTGCCATTTGTCATCGTTTGGCATATTTAATATTATTCTTTGCTGTCATTTTTATCATTGCTATCTTTGTTATTGTGGGCATCTAAATTCGTCTCTAACCCATAAGTAATAACGTATTTCACTACTAACGTTACCAGCTCAACCCAATGCTTTAAGCGAAATGCGACTTTCACCCGTAACATTGCCCCCAGTATTATGTGTTCACTACTCTGATGATGCATGTACAAGTACGATGTGAATTCATTAAAGAGTGGTAAATGTGGTATTTTCATCGTTATACCTCCTATTCAAATGTGATGTTTGATCTTGGCATCATCGTTGCCAATATTACTCTGTTCCAAAAAAATGGACCCTGTACCAAATGACTACCAAATGACTGTCTAGAAAAACCACTCGACTTTATTATTGGCTTAAACTCTTATCCTTTAGGTACTTTTCCAACATATTATGCCATCATACAATCCAGATAGGGTACACTTCTAAGTCTTGATTTCTACCATTGCACCTCTAAGTATGTTTCACCCCATTACTAATTTGTCATTAAATTACATACAAAGGGACATTCACATTTCATCATTTTCTCATCATCATATAAACTTGCACAATATATCATCATTATATTAGAGCACATCATATCACTAACATGCATTTTTCTAACATCACTAACAACTTATTTCCAAAAAAAAAACATCGCACATATAACATAGCACAACACAATTAATTTGTAACCCTCAAACTAGCATGAAACTAACAACAAAATTCATACCAAAACATCAAACTAAGTATCTAGCATGCAATACAACATAAATAATTCTTCTACGGTAGGGTATTAACATTTCCAACACATATATCATACACAAACAATATATCATACACAAACAGGGGCACACTGTGCATATCATCCTAGATTCAATTAACTCATTCTAGGATATGAGAATTACCTAAAAAAGTACTAGAATTGCAACAAGGATTGACTCACCTCTAGTCTAATTTTCGAGAAGCAAAGAACAAAGGGAAGCACTCTCCAAGAAACAACTAAGCACCTCAAAATAACACACGAGAGCCCATTTAGAAAAGAGCCTCGAAACATCAAAAAGCAACACAATGTGTATTTAGCGACTCTAAGGTTTATTGGTTGTGTTGCTACAAGTTAACAAGTCACGACTATGGTCAACAGGAAACCTTAGTGTAACACTCATTTTCACTTGTAAAAGATATACAAATATAAACCTTTGTTTATAAAAATGAAAGTGAAATTATTTTGTGTTTTAGTTGAAATGATCGACACAAAAGTTGTAGTAGACGAAATTATGAACCTGTGGATATAAAGAACGTCAAAATCGGAGATCGTATGAAGAATTTATGATTTTTCGAAGTTAACTAGAAAAAAGCATGATAGTGACAAATTAGGAGGGAATTTGGCCACATCTAATGTTGCCAACCACCCAACTACACTGATTATACTACTAGAAAAACAACATTTTACGACGTGCAATGTGCATCGTAAAACGCTCAGACGACCGGCAAATGCATGTCAAGGAAGGCCCTGTCATAACGAGAGACGACACGCTTTTGCGCGTCGTCTATAGACGACGCACATTTACGACACACAATGCGTATCAAGGAAGACCCTGTCATAAAGGAAGACGACACGCATTTGCGTGTCGTAACCTTACGACGCACGTTTAGGAAACGCATTGCGTATCATTAAAGCCCTGTCATAAGTGAAGATGACACACATTTGCGTGTCATAAACTTCAACAACCATTTACTATATACATTTACGATATTTATTTACGACGCGTCTTTATGATACTCATTTACGCATAATACAAAAATATGGAAATAAATATATACCAAAACAATCAATTTCATCCATAACATCATGTCAAAAAATTGTAATACATTGGTATTAAGGGGATCCGATTGTACATTATTATTATGAGGTTTTTCCTAACTATATAACCTAATACTACATTGCTATTAAGGAACACCTTGTTTCTACTTCTTATTGTTATGCTTCTGTTTCCACATGATACCTGTTTCCAAGACAAGTAAACTTGCTCTTATTGGGGCTGAGAGAATTTAGATATAACAACAATGTTATATTTAAAGGAATAAAAAAAGTAGGAATGTAAGGGAAACATGAAGGGGAATAAGATAGCCTAACCTCACCATAATCAACAAACAGTTTGTTTGCTCGCTAGTATGCTTCAATCATAATCAATTACCTTCTTTCATTTTCTCAACAGAAGCAAAATAGTCATTTCCATTAACTCAGCAACTTCCTTCTCATCATATTTTGCAACTCAAAATGTTCATACTGAACCACAAGGTGACAAACTCTTCATGAAATTGAACAAAAAAATATTGATTATGAATTCTTCACATTCTCTCACTGTATTGTAAAATTCAACCAAAAATAAAGAACAAAAAAAAATCATCTATACTAAATTGATTACTACATCAAAGCGAACATTCTTATCCAACCATCAGGGCCAAATATGTAGTATATACCCCAAAAAATGTGCAAATATCAAAACTTCACTCATACATACACAAGTCGGATCTGAACACACACAACAATATCTAATAATAAACACCAAATATATGTACATATTGATGCATATCCTGCTCTAAATATACTAACAAATCAAAAGGAGATACATGCTAAGAATTTGTGTGGAATAGAGGTAACCTTAATAGATTATTCTTAATAGATATTGTTAACAGATATTGTTAAGAAAAATATTAACAAAAAAAAAACTCACCTAGAATCAGATAGTAGAGAAGTTGACCTACACACATGGATGCACCAATTAAGCTTGTGTGAAGTATTAAGAACTTTAGATAACATCTGAACAACCCCTTCACTCAACAGTATTGGCTGTAAAAAAAGCATAAATCATTAAAAATTAGCAAATATTAACTTTTACGCAACAACTTAATAAATAAAAGAATACCTTGGCACGTGGCTGTTCAAGTAAGCTAGCAAGAAAATCAAACAATCTTTGAAAACCAGTTAAGACATATGGATCTAAAAGCCACAGTTCTATATAAAGTATCATAGGAGTATCGCTGCTCTCTAAGCATGTACACATGCCACACGTACAATATAAATCCTCTAACATGTCTTGTATTACAACCATCAGGGCCAACATGCTTTCATCTCATACGGCTCCCATGTGATAAAAGAAAGATTTCTTCATCTCATCTACTATAATAAATGAAGATAATTTTGCCACATGTCAATCTCTAATGAGTTTTGACACTTGTCATTTTGTGATATTTCTCAAATAAATAATATCCACATGTCAATTTATGGTTTTTTTCAATTTTTAAAATTAAAAAGCCACATAATCTTATACTTATATATGTAAAGTATCAAATATAATAAATATTATAATAAATTGTAATTAATATGAAATTTCATTCCTTATTTCAAAATTTTATTTTAAAATTTACTTACCATTTATATTTTAGTATTTTATTTTCTTTAATCAACCTGTGTAATACACGGGTTTTACACCTAGTATCTAATATTTATATGGACTTTTGTAAAAAAAATACCAATTCAAGTGGGTGGCCCAGAAGACTCATCATCAAATTCAAATGGGTGTGGTGTGGATAAAAGGTCAAAATGGTAACTTTTTCTACATATTTTTATTTTATATTAGTGTTAAATATGATTCAACAACAATACCCAGATCCCATATATAGGAATGGGGTAAGATGTAGACAATCGGACCACCGAAAGAACAGTGGCTTTATTAGATCATATAATATTTTTGGAACCACACTAGAGAAAAGTTCTCGTTTTTGTGTCCAGAATAAGTATCATTTATTTGAGGTGTTCAAGATGGGATTGGTGACACATTCTCAACTCTGCAACAACAAATAGATAGAAGACGTTTTTATAGAGGTGCACATGTGCAGTTTAATCATATGCAAAATAAATCACATACGACAATAACACGGAAGATAATAATTACCTTTGATGAGCTGCAAGACATCTTATACTCCAAACCATTCACCACATGTACGCCTTCGATGGCAGCTGATATAGCAGAAGATTCATCCATGCCTGAGAATTGGCGTTTATTTCTGCATGTAATTAGGAAACAAATTATATATGAACATAAATATATACTCATTTACTCAATGTCATAAGAAGTATTAATATTTATTAGTTATTACCTCTGCAACATAATACCAGAATCCTTTTTTCCAGGCACAACAGAAAGAAAATCATTGTGAAGATAAGCTGAAAAATTTGGATCCACAGAAACCGCAACCACTTCAGTCTTTTTCATTCCCAACATCCATCAGCTAAATGGTTAAACAAGATGGGCCAGATGACTGCAAAAACATAAGAAAAAAATAAACCAGAGTTCTTATAGGATACAGAGACTGCTACATATGATTATACAGTAATAATCTATTTTTTTTAATAAAGCATTTAGGAGCTTCTATGCTTTAAAAATAACTCCATGGAACTTTCAACCTTTTGACATGTTTCACTTCTGCTGATTTTACCAAATTTACCCCTATAGAGATAAAACTTGGCCCAAATCTGCTCATTTATAACTTATAAGGAAATTGCCACCTCTAATCATACTTATTTGAGGATATAAACAAATGGTGTCTATAGTTTTATAACAACTGATATCTAATTCTGGTTATTCTGTATCACATGACATAATCTGATTCTGGTTATTCTGCATCACATGACATAATCAGTTTTAAACCCTTTATATACGAGGAATAAATAATAACAAAATTCACCTTTAATATTGTAACTCAAATGAATACCATATTTCATACAACATAGACTAAAACATATAGAGGATCCAGGGACTAATAGTTTTCAACCATTTTCGAATAATTATTTCAGAAACCAAAATAAATAAATAATTAAAAGACAAGGAAAGGAAAGGATGCTGGTAGAAAATAAAATAACCTTGGGTGAAGACTCTTGATCTCTTCCAAATTTTGATGCACCTTTGACATTACAAGGCGTACATGGTACATACTTGGAAAAAAGAATATTATATTTTGTGTTTTGTTATCATTAAAGAACACAACATTTACATTAAAATCATACCGAATCTCAGACTCTTTCCGCTCTCGAGGGGTAATCTGATAAATCACAATAAGATGAGATGGATGCTTTAGGTCATAATTATTATAACTCTAAGGTTAAATGTAAAAAAAATAACAATGTAATGTACTTCTTTGATTTGTTTAGTAATTAGTATAGCATCTTCCTATTTCAGTAGTATTATACCCATTTATAGAAAAGTCATCTAAATACTAAGCACTTTTCACTACTGCTATATTATTATTTGCAGACTATAATACAATGTCCTAATAAGAAAAAAATATAAAAGTAGCTAGCCAGCTAGGTTGATATATATATTTAGATAAAGTATGCTCCTGCTATTTCTTGCATTTAGCCCTAAATGTTATGTAAATGGTGATGAATGAATTTATTACCTCACTCCCATTTAATATGTTTACTTTGGCCAAACGAACAATCAAAACAAATCTTGCAAGCCCACCTCTGCTTGGATCAGTTATTGGATTCTCAGAGCACCTAATATCATGCATTTACAAACCATAGGGATAGGCTTCAATACAATTATATCATCTCATCTGTGGCATTATCTATAATATGATTGGATCACTAGCTGCATTTATGTTTATTGTTATTGCTATTGTTACTCTGCCTTCACTGTTTTTGTTTTTGTTAATGTTATTATTCCTGTTACCTAAGTGTTAATGTTATTGTTTGACTGCTTTCTGCAACCATAGTTATCAGATTTGTGAGCAAAAATAAAGATAAATAAGCTTACCTACCATTAAGCCAGGATAAGAGTTTAGGGCATCAATGGAAGATGTCTCCTGGATTTTATTACCTCCTGGACACACACCTTAAATTTTCAATAACTTGGAATTGTTCAAGTAAGATAATATAATCCCAAAAAAATGCAATTAATTACCAATAAGTAGGCAATGCAAATTTTGGAAAGGCTTATCAGGTTCATCTGTAGCTGAGGGGTACCAAATACGCTCTATGTTATTCTTATTCAATTGAAGTTGCTCCAAACTGAATACAATTTCAAGTAAAGGATAAAGCTTTCACAAACTATTATAATATTAACCTTGAGTAAGTCATCGCTGAGGGTTAAAAGCGAATCCAGAGTGCCAACACGAAGACTTGGGATATTAAACTGCAAAATTACTCAAATTGAATAAGATTCTTAGTAAAATTGAACGAAAGTGATTGCGATAATTGCTATACACTGTAGAGAGGAGTGTCAAATGAGTTTTTGGAGATGGATTCTTGTAAGCGACTCCACAAAGAAGAAGCAGAACTCTGAACGGGAAGAGAAACTATCCAGTATCTGGTAGCCATTGCTGCTCAAAATTCTTAAGATCGACAACGGAGGTTCTCGATTGTTGAATTGAATTATGGTTTGCAACAGAGAATCAAAAGGGGGAAAATTAACGAGATCTCTCTCCAAATAGAAATCGACGAATTCATGAGACAGATTGATTTCGTTTTGAAAACATCCATGAAGTCAACTTTAGAAGCAGATTCAGATTCGTTTTCTATTCAAACATGTTCAACTTTTTTGTAGGATACGGTCCCAATTTTTACATAGGAACCACCAAATCATTCAAAACTAGAAAAAAAGTATGTGAAGAAACGAACAATAAATTGATTACCTGGATCTCTGACGCAAAAGTTTCAAAGGTGATGACGAGATGCAATCGGGAAGCTAATGGAGCAAAGTTACGGTTATTTGTCTGTGTGTTTTTTGATTTATCTGTGGGGAATCAGAAACAAACGAGAATCAAGATTTGCATTCCTAATATTGAGACTTGAGAGTATAATACTGAATTAGGGTTTTTTCTAACAATTTCAACATCAAGTGGGAGATATGGTGGTTCCAGTGGGTAGAAGTAAGTGAGCCTTGATCGATGTCAACGATCGGGGAAGAATCGGTGGTGGCGGTCAGAGTGCAAGGGAAAGAAGCAAGCTACACTCGATGTAGGGAGGCGGAGGAAGATCGGAGAAGATTTTTGTGGTCAAAGAACACACCCAGAGCTAAAGAGGGGAAACAAGGAAGGAAGGCGGGTTTTCTAATTTTTTTTATTTCCTTTTTCCCGCTGCTAGTTGCTGAAGAGCGCGTTTGTAAAATTATAAAGCGACATTTCTAGACGACACGCCTTTAATATAAGCGCCCTCCATTTTTTTTTGTGAGACACTAATTTTAGGGCACGCAAAAATGCGCGTCCTAAATTCTTCAGATTTCTAAAGATCTGACATTATTTTTAGGGCACGCCCTTTTGCGTATCATTAATCCGTAAAGTGCGTGTCATTAAAGATCTGTTTTTCTAGTAGTGTTAAATGTCATCCATCATATTTAAATGTGAAGAAAACAGTTTGCGGCAGGGTCACAACGCTTCCAACGTTTTCCATCCCTAAAAATAGAGGGTCACCTCTCACTCATTCCTTGCACATTTTCACTTTTAATAATATCTCTATCTATCTATTCTCTTTCTCTCAAGATTTCTGTCCCTCATGATTTTATTTCCCATTCTTAAGTATTAATAGCTACATTTGGAGGTTTCGGAAGGATAATTGTAAGGAAAGGAAGTAAGCATCTAAGTTCCACTCGTGGCTATTTGGATTTTGTCAAATCTGAGTAAATTAAAATTAAAATTACTGTTATCTATAATTGATTATATTCATAGTCGTCTAGATTAGTCACTGATTCCGGTTAAAGTACTAATTGGTCTACTTATGGGAGAGGTATTTAGGATAGACACGTTGGCCTGGTTGTTGGATTTCATAAAAGATGTACATTGAAATGGTCCTGCCTCCCGACTCTCCTGACTGCGTAATCCTTATTTGATAGCCATGAAAGTATATTTTGGTATAAGTGAAGGATCTAAGTATTAGTTGTTATGCTCAGATCGTTAGTAACCAATATAGTATTATAGGTTATTGCAAGCTAGTTGAGCCGTATGCAAACCAACCTACTTAGTTGTTTCGAGACCGTTCGGGTGAGTTTTATCACTATAATTTATACAACAATATGTATCCCTTGAATGTTAGTATGTAGTTATGTTGTATTAAGCTGTTAGGAAAGTAGACTAGTTTAGTTAGTTGCCCGTGTTACTGGATTGTTTGTTTGACTGTTATATATATATATATATATATATATATATATATATATATATATATATATGTTGACATATCATGTTGTGAGTGAAGGGCGATCCAGTGTTATGCTGCAGACGAAAAGGGCGTACCAGCTTTATGCTAAAGGCCAAAGGGGGCGGAATACCTTTATGCTGAAGGTCATTATTTGTATGCATCGTATGTATATTATTGTGTGTAGTATTTTGGGGAACTCACTAAGCTTTGGATTTAATATTTGTAGGTAGTTCCTCTAGTCGTGGGAAGGCTCCAACGTGACTGTACTCGCATCGAAAAAATAATTATGTTTCAACATTTCCACTAAACTCTCCTTTATGTTTCATGATGTTTAAAATGAATGTATAACTATGATATTTTAATGAAAATGAGATTTTTGATTTGTTCTAATTATATTTTAAAAATGAAAAAAAAAATTGGGCTGAAAATCGGGACGTTATACCTAGCTTCGCGATGCGAGTTTGTGACCATCGTGTCGCGAGGATGTTGATAGTTACATAAATTGATTATGATCATCTTCCCTTCCACATCATATCCAGGGCAGTCAAAACCTCTTTTGGGGCGATTTTAACTACCCAAACCTCAGATTAAGTATCCAGAACAATTGGAACACTATAGGACCAAAACTTCACTCTACACCATGGATTGTGCACCATCCATGTCTATCTATTGAGTGCATATCATATGGACAGAAAATAACTCAAAGTAACATCAACATCAACATTCAAACACTACACCAAGGATGCTTTAAAACCTTCAAGAATTCCCCCTATACACTTGAACAATCTCTAAAACCCTAGAATGATACACACACTCTTACATACTCTCTCTAGTAGTTGATGGATGCAAATAGAGTGATAAACCTGGATTTTAGGGTTAGCATTCCTTAAATACTCCATAAGTTACCCTTGTACATGATTTAGAATCATTTTCTTATAGTTTGTCCCTCATAAATTAGTTTTAGTCAAGCAAAAAGGTTAGTTTTAAGAATAAAACTTAACGGAACACTAACCCTAATGACGAGTGGAAATATAGGTTGTAACAATTATTGTTATTGTGCTTACATGGAGCATTTTGATACTC